AAGATGAATACAGCTCTGCAAAGTGATTTAAGGTTAATCAGATACTAGAAAGACTTGAGTAGGCAACCATATATTTCAGAGCACTGTATGAGGTGACTGAGCTCATCAGTCACAGGTAGCAGGTAAAGCCATGCATTTTCAAACTATTATGCAAAAAGTATATGATGAAGAAAACTGCATGAAGGAAACTAAAGAGTAAGGTTCAGAACACAGCCCTATGGAAGTTTTAAGATATAATACAGAAGGTACAACATTCAGTACTCATCTTATTTAAATCTTCCTATCTCTGAAATGGCAAATGTCTTACACATTTCACTTTTCAAAGATGAAAAACATGCACAAAGCATGCATCAGTCTCTTACTAGATTACTGTCTGCTGTATTTTAGAAACATGCATTACGAAAAACTACTTTAAACATTTTCTTTTGGACTGTAGAGTCTCTTAAAAGGAGTAAGCCAACATAATATATTGGCAGAACATATGTTGAAGTACATGAATGAATACATGATGTGTTTGCAAAAGTTTTTTTTTTTTTTTTTTTTTTTTTTGCGTGGTACTGGGGATCGAACTCACGACCTCATGCTTGCCAGGAAGGTGCTTATGCCGTTGAGCTAAATCCCCAGCCCGTGTTTGCAAAAGTTAAGGAATTGAGATCTAAAACAAAGACAGGAAAAAACACTGCTTCGCAGAGCCTAAAAGTTCATAAATAGTATCTTCAGGCTATTCATTCAACAAACATGAGATACTGAGAATGAACAGAGATAAAGACAGAGCACTCAAGGAGCTTTCAGCACTCACTGTGCTACAGACGTGATCCATACCCAAACCCGGCCCAGTGTGTCAGTACACTGAGCGGAGTTCTACTGTGCTGTGCATGGCTGCTCACAGTGAAACAGCCATGTCAAGAAGTAGCAACGAGGACCACACAGACTATTCATGCTAAGTCAGCCAATCTCTGATGCAGAATAGCTAAGCCTGTGGGAAATAGAACTCCGTAGGGAAAGAGCACTGTCTTAGGTGACTGGTTTAACATGGAAGGTGGTGACTTAAGAATAAATATCACTCATAAAAGCACGGGGTAGGTACACTATTTGAAGACAACATGAAAAAATATAGCTCTTCTCATGTATAGGATATTGAAGGCGTGATAAGTGAGAGAATGGCAGAGAATAAGACTGATAAAATACGGCAAAGTTACCTCCTCAGGTTAATACTCAATACTACTATTAATTGAAGGGTAACATCAAAAAAGGTTAAAATACTAAGATTTATGAATGAGCTAAGATTTTTTGAAGTTAGAATAGCTAGAGTTGGGGATTTAGCTTAGTGATACAAGCACCTACCTGGCAAGAGCAAGTTTATGAAACCAGAACCAAAAAAGAAAAAGAAATGAAAATATGAAATAAAATAGCTTCCATATTTTAAAAAAAGTGATGTGTATTGACATTTTTCAGAGAAAAGAGTGAAATTGCAGATATGCAAATGCAGAACTGCACAGAATCCTGAGCATTCGAGTGGATATCTGAATGCCATGCAAATTATTATGCTACTAGGAGGAAAGATTGAGAAATGCAGCTGCAGGAAATACAAAGCAGATGAAAGTCACTGAACAAGGAAATGGGACAATCCAACATGGGTTTTAGAAAGCCTAACTCCAGCGACCTGAGAGTAAGGCCAGAGGTACCCTACACAGAGAAGTCTGGAAACTGCCACCCAGCCCACAGGAAAAGCGACATGCAAGCCAGAAGCACAGGAGGAGGAAGCAGATTGTGTGCCAAGTGACTGAACAGGAATTCAGGAGCACCTGGGCTGCAGTCCCGGCTCGGCTACCTTGGGCAAAATAAACTTTCTAAACTTTGTAGTTTTCAAGCTACACCTTATGTACAGGTAGAACATACCTACTCCAAAAACCCAAAATCTGAACTGTTCTGACATCAGACACTTTTCCCCACCAACCAGACACCAAAAGTGGCAAACTGCACATATGAATTCATGTAATAGGTTGCAAGCAAAAGATAAGTCTGTTAACTCTCAGTATGCATGATATACATAAGACAGAAATGAATTCTGGGTTTTAACTCGCTTCCCACCTTTATTCTATCATTATGCGTATGTAAATACTCCAACTTTGACACCTGCCAAAAACAAAAACTCTGAAGCACTTCTCATCTCAAGCATTTTGGATAAAAGATACTGAATCTGTCAAAGTATTCAATGCTTCACAGCAGTGTGATGAGAAATAAATGAGATAATATAAAGTACTTGCAAAAGTGCTGGCACACTTCATGATGTAACTGAATGATGGCAGATTTATTTAAAATCATGTGTACCAGGAAAGGAAAAGTGAATCATTGTGAATAATTCCCAGAACTTTGCTGTTGGAGCCAAAAGGACTGCTAAACATCGAAAAAGACACAAAATACGAGCATTATCTTTATTGAGTATAGTACATTTAAGAGGAATCTCTGTGTGAGATTATACAGCAATATAAAGATGAGAAACACAATGTAACAAAACAAAATATAACTACGTCTTCAGCCTAAGAAAAAATAAAACACCTGTACAAGAGATTTCTAGTACTGCCCAGAGAAACAGGACTGATCAGCAGATGGAGCCCTCCAGAATGTACTGGTAGACTACACTTCATAGTGGCGGACAATTTATTAGGATATCTAAATTTTACTTCTTAAAGACATTTAAAACACTGTTTTACTCATGAAATAACTTTATTAGTTATAAAGCGTCCAACATACTTCAACACCGAACTGGTATTTTGACTAATCTATAGAGACATTCTAGAACATAAAGTACCAGAATCCTTTAGTATTTTTGATAATTCTGGTTTTGAAACTGGATAGTATAAAGCCAGCAATCTGATTTTGAGGTACTATTGGGAAATCTGCAAGGGCATAAAGCCAGATCTTGGGTCATGAAGCACGCCTGTAAGGCACAGCTCACGTTCACCTAGGACAGCCCTGGACGCCCTATTTTCCTACTGGTGTAGTCACCATGGTGAAATCAGTCAAGCTTTTGTGATTAGCAATTTTTCATCTTCAGAAGATTGATTAGTTATAAAAGCAAAAACCAAGTCATAAAAAGATGGCAAGAGAAGAGGCGAAGTTTAATAACATTGTTGTATAAATAACAATATCTAACTGTCTCTACACACAAGTCTGCTAAAAATGTCATGCTTAATAGTCAAGAGTAAGGTAATCACAGGATTTAAGTAAGGAAACTGTCAAAACCCATTTATGGATTAAAGGATCGCTATCACCATTCTAAGGTTTTAGAAGACAGCAGCAGCCACAAACAACTGATTGTTCTTGTCACTACAGGATTTGTTCCAGGAACTTTGCCAAACCTGATGTGGTGGTACATCCTATAATTTCAGAACTCTGAAAGGTGCAGGCAGAAGGATGGTAAATTCAAGCTCCGTTTGGGCAATTCAGTGACTTAGTGTGACCTTGCCTCAAAAAAAGGGGGGGGGGGTTGCAAATGTAGCTCAGTGCCAAGGCTCTGCTCAAACCCCTGGATCACACACTTAAACACACAGTTTTGCTAAAAACCAGTACAACTATTAATACTTTAATGGCATGCCTACATGTAACACTCAACAACGATCAACTGACTTCTCGTGCCACTTCCTATCTTTCTGACCTTTGGGCTCATTCTTCCTTCCCTATGCTGCCAAGCTCAGGCTGTCGATTGGAAAATTTTAACACTATACTCTAAGGAACACATAATTAGTTTGTACATCACTGTGAAAAAAACCTCCAAAGATACCACATAATGTATCCAAAATCATTAACTTTTTGCTTACTCATTTAAACTTGCTTTTCATAGTTAGAATTTAATACCCAATAGTGCAACAACGTATAATAAAGCCAAGAACTGCACTGTATTAGTCCTCAGCAAGCCTTCTTAGGCAGCATAACCACAGGGGTGCACACACAAACACCAAGGGCCAATGAGACAATTACATGATAACAAAATAAAACAGTTTTCATACTCTTAGTAATAGGACACAGGCTAGGGAAACCCAAGGAGACACAAAATCTCTAAAGTCCTTACATTTCCATTCAGACTATGTTTAGTGAGGTGACACAATGACTGATGAAAAAGTGACTCTTGTTACATAAGACCACCTTCACCAACAGATTAAAATTATAAATCATTTGGTTTCAGTTAGCTCATGGTGAAGTGGGACAGGTGCTGAAATGTTTCAGAAAGTGCCAAGTAGTCTTATGCTTTACACAAAATGGCTTAGTTCAGATTTTCAATTCCAGGTCTCAATTCCTGGGAGATAATAACAACAAAGCCAACTCCAAAGGGATCTAACCCAGTTTTTCAATACTCCATGAAACAAAAAACAGATAAAATTTTACTACTGAGTTGATAAAAACTCTAGTACACAGCAATTTTATTCAAGAGAAGTGAGGTTAATTTTATCTAATGTTCTAGAACCTGGGGTAGCAATCTTGTTATGGAAGTTCCCCTCGGAATTGCAAAAAATGTACATGAAAGAACTACATATTGCCCTTATATAGTTATCTGAACCAAAACTCTGAATGCCTAGTGGAAATTCATTAATTTGGTATCTATGTCCACATATCAAAGTTTGGCATCTGGAATCTTATTTTACTTCAGCAATTTGATGACCTCTGCTTAAAATTCACCTAAAACATCAACTTTGGGGCATTCTCACCTGCTCTGTCAAGGCTAAAGAAGACAAAATGCACAAATGCAAGCTTAAGCATTATGACCAAACACGGTGTGTTTGCTTGTGGCAGAACTCATCCTACTGCCCCGAGCCTCCTGAGATGACGCCTCTGTGACACCTTCCCGCGTGACCGGTGCTCGACCCACAGCACCCTCCCCTAGGTCGCTCCCGAAAGGGCCTCCACGCGCCCCTCTAGCCGCCGGGACGCCCAGGCACTTGGATCCCCACCCAGCGCCGCGGGACCTCTGGGGACCCGGGCGGCGTCCCGGCCCGGCTTACCCTCCGCCGCCCGCACGCTGCAGCCGCCCCGCTTCCCTGCGGAGCAGCCCGCAGCACTGCGTCCAGCAGCAGTTCCCCATCGCATGCCGCCCGCCGCCGCCGCTCGGAGCCCACGCGGAGGCCCCGCAGCCGCATGGACCGCGGGCGCCGGCCGAGCGCGGCGGGAGCCCTAGAACCGCAGGGACGCGCGCTCCGAACAAAGGCCGCGCTACTCCAGCGGCCGCCGGGCTGCCGCTGCGCGAGGAAAGTGCGCTAGGCTGCGGGGCTGAAGCTCAGTAGCCGTCCGCATGGCCTTCCCGTGTCAGACCCCGGACCGGCGCAAGCGACCGCCTCCAGCCGCTGCGCCAGGCTCAGCCCCGCGAGCCCTCGCCCAGGCCCCGCCTTCCCACGCGCAGCACCTCCCAGCCCGAGCCTCTCCCAGGCCCCGATTGGTCGCCCTTCCTATACGGCCCGCCTCTTCCTGGGAACGATCCAACGTCACTTCCGCCAGTTTCGGGTATTTGGAACCTCGGCCTCTTGTCCTCAGTGTGTTGGGTGTGGGTGTGGTGGTTGGACCTTGGTCTGATAGAAATGTTGCTTATTTCCTCGCAGTTTCTGGCCTTTTGGTTCTGAGGGAACTGGATGTGCTGTGATCACCGCTCAGTCTTTGGACTTTATACCGAAACTCGTGAGCAGAGTACCTGGGGACTCAGGCGAGACGCGAAGCAACGGCGCCGTCCCCGTGGCATGGCTGTCAGCGTGGGCAGCGGGAACAGCCGGGGCCGCCGGCGTCAGAAGGAGCACGCCGGGCGCTTCCACGTTTCCGGTCTCCGCGCTGGCGCGTGGCCTCCCAGTGCCGACTTGAGGGCGAAACTTAATGGTGTTATACTCCCAAGTTTTGTTCAGATTAAGATAGAATCTTAGAATAATTTAGGAGGGCGGGAGGCTAGTGGGATCAAAGGAAATCGGCAAGAGGGCTGGGAGTTTCCAGATCCTGTCTTGCCCTTCAGCTGCGGAAGAAGGAAGGAAAAGCGTCCTGGTTTGCGCCACCTTCCCCAAGTGGCCCTGTGAAATCAAACTGGGCAGGTGATCTTAAAATCGGGTGTAAGGCAGAGTTTAGTAAATGCCTACCCCAGTCGAGAAGATGCTACAGCGACTAATCAAACTACAAAGAAAACAACAAAAAAACCAGTTTTCATTCTGGTAAAATTACATTTTCAAAATTGTTACTAATATTCCTCAAACTACTCGTTTCCTTGGTTCTTGAAATCTACACTGACTTGTGCTTTAGCATTAGCTTTGCTGCTTACCTAACTCATTTGAGCCTGATTTGTGTGTTGAAGTCAGGATAGGCAAGGGGATAGATTTGATACAAGACACATAATTTATAGATTATATAATATTCATCCAAAAAGTCAAGTGCAGAAGAGTGCAAAAGATCTCTCCACATACCAGAGACCCAAAGACCAGAATCCAGCTGAGGGCCTTAATCCCATAACGACGTCCTGCACAAATCCAAAGGAAGACCTCGAACCCACAGTAGTGTCCTAGTTCAACTGGAAGTCTAGAGCCCACGGTGATGACTCACGCAAGTCTTTTCTTCAAAATTTTATCTCTGAGTTTTGCCCTTAGTCAAAGAGCACACTGTGTGAAGGCAGGCTAAGACAGTGTGGCCTCATACAGAAAAATACACTCTCAGACTTTGTCCAGTCTTTGCAGGATGACTGAGTTAAGGGGAGACCTTGCCACCTACTAGTCACTTACCAATCAGCAGTGTCCTGTCCTGGGAAGTCTAGTAAAACAGTGTTCTCTTAAGAATCTCTGTCATTCCTCAAGTCTTACTTAGTCTTCAGTAACACCATGAGCAAGACCAATATGCAGTCTAGGTTCAAGCTGATCCAACATTGCCTAATAATGTACTTTTTAGTACATAACTTCCTTATACCATGAAGTAGACCGTATCTGCGCTATATCCAGTTTCAGTTCCTTGGCACCCAACAACAGCTTGAACAAAAAGCTGCTTCCTCAAGAGTAAATGATACTATGTGGGCACCTCACAGCTTAAATGCATACTTAAGAAACACTTCTCAAAAAAAAAAAAAATCTCCAAAAGAATCAACTTGGCCTATAATAAATATAACTTTTTACATTATCACACAATGGTTTTTTTTTTTTTTTTTTGTCTTTTTTATCGTACCAGGGATTGAACTCATGACCGCCTGCTTGCAAGGCAGGTGCTTATGCCACTGAGCTAAATCCCCAGCCCCTATCACACAATGTTTTAGCTCCTTAAAATTTCTGCTCTTAAATCTCTTATTTCTTAAGAGTGTTTTATTGCACATTTATATAACTAAATAGTGAAACAGTCCATATGAGTGATCTTTTCAAGAAATCAGCCACACAAATACATGAAAAAATGTTCATTATTACTCATTTGAGAAATGCAAATTAAAACCACACTCAGATTCCATCTCACTCCAGAAAGAATGGCCAGGATCAAGATAACTACCAACAAATGCTGCAGAGGCTGTAGGGAAAAAGGAACTCTCCTGCACTATTGGTAGGAGTGTAGACTGGTGCAACCATCGTGGAGGTCAGTTTGGAGATTTCTCAGAAAGCTGGGATTGGAGGTCCCATTTGTTCCAGCTATTCCACTTACAGGCATATTCCCAGAAGAACTGAAGACTTCATACCACAGTGATATATATGCACCCATGTTTATAGCAGCATAATTTGTAATAGCCAGATCTTGGAAACAACCTAAGTGTCCATCAACTGAGGAATGGATAAAAAAGATGCAGTATTTTAATACACTGGAGTACTACTCAGCTATAAAGAATGATCACATTGAGATATTTATAAATAAATGGATGCAGCTTGAGACCATACTCATAAGCGAAATAAATCAAACTCACATGTATAAATACTGAATAGTTTCCCTAGTATAAGAATGGTAAGAATACATAGAAGTATGTGATAATCATGATTCCCCATTATATTGCTTTGAAGCCTTATAATGTTTCCATTCATTAATTGGAATGGTTTTATTCTGTGTTGTTTGATTTTATTGTCTGTGATGGTATGAACAGCTATTTTGAAGAAAACAAGACATTACAATAACTAGTGATGATTTAACATCATCTTGTTTTGTAGTCCCACCAAGCTTTTGTTCTTCTGTTGGTTTTATCATGTTGTACCTTATTGGATTTTATTATATGTGATAGTATAAATAAAATATTTTATACACAAGGAGATAATATAATAACCTTTGTTTGTTTTCTGTTAGTTGGTTCTGAATACCCTGTAATACTTTCATTCTCTTGAATGGTTTTACACTGTCTTGTTATGTTTGATACTATAGTATATGAAGGTATACTCAAATATTTCAAGGAAAGAGATGCTATGGTAGCTACTGTTATGTTGGATTGTCTTGTGGTGAAACACTATGTTACTTAAATTGTTCTGTTCTGACCTGTTTTGTTATGTCCTCTTTTATCTTAATCTTATTTTTTAAATAAATAAAAAAAGAAAACAGCCACAAATGATAATGATAAAACGTGGAGATGACTTAATGCTTGGCTCATTTCCCATGGATTTGGGATGTGTGATGGGCTTCTTGTTGGTGTCACCCTGCAAGCTGCATGCTGTATACTAGCAAAAAGAGCTTCATTATGTTTGTGTTATGCCTAAGTTATATGACCAAAGTACCTGTAATATGATAATACTGTTCTGTATGCATCATTTTTTTCTAGATGACCTAACTAATATGTTAATCAATGCTCCCCTCTGTAAAGAACTGTAAATCTCTGGGAATCTGACCTAATTGATATGTTAACCATTGCTGCCCTCTGCAAACAACAGATGTTATCTAAAATTGAGTGCTAAAATAAGTTGACAAAGGATTGATAATTCCTGTGAGACATCTCTGTCCTCTGCAAAGGGAAACAAAGGTCTTCCTCATTCCTTAGCAGATCAAGGATCTTTTATTTCCTGATCCACACCCATAACCCCTTACTTTGTAAACCATGCTTTCTACAAAAAGTCTGGAAAGTTTTGAGGGAGACACACAGCTTTTGCAAACTCCAACTGCACTGTGTTGCTGGGCCCAGGATAAAATAAATCAGTGCTGCTTTTTTAAAAAACACGTCTTGCCCTAGTTTTGGACCCGAGATTGGGGGACTGGGGGCTCGTTTTTGGGCTATAAGACTGCACACTAAGTGATCATCTTCCTGGAAATCTAATGCTGCATTCGTAAAGACAGGGTTACCAAGGGCAGCTAAAGGATTGTTAGAGTGCACCCATGGGTGAGCTTTGTTCCAAATCTCCAGTACCAAGTGGAAACCACATCAGCAGTTCCAACAGGGAAAGTTTAACAGAAGGAATCAGTAAGTAGATCAGGGGTGGTTAAGGTCAGAAGGAAAAGCTAAGGTCAAACAGATGTGGCTACTTAAGGGTACAAGGACAACTCAGAAATACAGGAGAAAGCCTACAAGGTAGGCAAGGTAGAAACTTGCTGTCCATGTTGGCAAGGTACCTAGTTTGAACCCCATCCCATAAGCTGGAGGGTGCTTGCCACTGAACCAAGAGCCTTTGGCCACCATGGTGAGCACCCCAGGATTCCTTGCCCACCCATATGGTATCAATAAACAGAAGAGAGGAAGAATGCCGTTCTCCTACCATTAAAATATCCCTGCAGCACCTCTATTGGAAGATCCTATGCCTGGAACATATTGTTACAGACAGCTGAGTTAGTTAGAAATAGTACAGGTGGTCAGACAGGGCTGAGCCCTCAAAGGAGCCAGAGCAGAAGTTCAGATACCTTGCAGCCTTGGAAGACACAAATGCATCCTGCTGTGGGCCAGATCTCAAGGCAAAAGGCAAAGCAAATACACCCACATCCTAAGGATTGATAGTCCAAATAGTTCTCCATCACCCTGAGGAAGTCAGATGTGAGCATGCCACCCCCTCCAGGAAGAGTCAATGATGTTAAGGCTTACTACATGACTCACTCCCTCATTTGTTTGTGATTTAATCAATTTTACCTGAGCAATTAATCTTACTGGTTGACCACAGTTCTGCCCCACATTATGCTCACCTTGTGAGTTCCCATTTTTCCCCACCTTCGACCCATCTCACCTCATGATTTTACTCTATAAAAGTCTCCAAAAAAATAGTCTTTGGCAACTTGCTTGAGACCCCTTCTGCCTCTCAGACAGAAGCTTTCTTCTCTCAAAAAATATACTCTGCTCTTAACCGCCATTGTTCCTAAGATTTGTATTTCGATTTTAGAGAACACAAACTCTTATTGGACATATAGTAGGTTGGGAATTTTGTTCTCCTATATCACCA